TGATCAAAGCAATTTCCTAAGTTTCATAATTATTCTAGGTTAAGATTGTGTTGACGTAAATTAACTTATATTTACATATAGTTAACCGCCAGTAACGAACTAGCAATCGGGTGACTGCAGTCTGGCAGCGAGTTTCCTTGGAGGTTTGGCGTCCCCACGCTAGCTAAGTTGGAAGACAGGCTCTGCCTACCTGGTGGGTGTTCTGGGGGTCAACGCCCCCGCAGCCTGGTCCATGACTAGGCTGCCGTGAGATGTTGGATAATGGGGCTTCAAGCCTATCACCTACTTAAAGGGTTATCAAGATTACATATCACCGGTTCACCACCAGTCAAGAATACTTTAATCCCTAAAATAGGGATTAAAGTAAGCTCCCAGTGTATATACAGTGAGAGACGCGCACCTCTCAGTGAGAGGAGGAATTAAAGAGAGGAAGCAGTGTAGACTCACCAGAGCTCACTGATGTTAAATTGTTTCCGTGTGAGTCAATGTAGTCTCCCCGGCCTTTCTCTTCGTAAAATACTTATTGCTGTTTTAATGTGTTTACGTGAATTGATTTCTGAACGATCTGAGCTGACAACAAGGATAAATATTCACAAATTGAAGGTGGAACTAGACGGGTCAACCACCACCCCAAGGAGGAAAAATGAAAAGTGAAGTATGCAAGAAATGTTACGGACGACTGACTGGTAACTTCCACGCCCTAACACCCTCACCCACGCCCTAACACCCTCACCCACGCCCTAACACCCTCACCCACTCCCTAACACCTTCACCCACGCCCTAACACCTTCACCCACGCCCTCAGATACACATGAACCTTCACATAGATACAGCTGCAAACACAGAATCATCCACGTACGATACACATGAACATTATTATGTAGATACTCCTGCATGTAAACGGGAACGTTTACATAAATACAGCTGCACACAGACACACACGAGCGTTTACACAGATACAGCTTCATACAGGAAACGTTTATACACACAGCTGCACGAAGTTTCCCTAAATGTCTAGGCACTGTCGGGGAATGCTGTTGGAGTGGGCTCATTTAGGGAGTGCCTGAAGGCCAGAGTGTGGGCAGGTGGGTGTGGGGGCAGCACATAAACCCATGCGTCCATCCAACGCACGTTAAGCGGTGGACTTGTTCTTTGTAATTGGCCTCTTCCACAAGAAAATGCAGCAGCACCTTGTTGCCCTGGTCTGGCGGTGACGGTGGTGTGGCTGGGGGTCTGGCAGCGCAGGTGGACGTGGTACTGTGGGTGTGGCTGGCAGGGGTGACTTGCTGCACTAGTTTTTTAGCATTGGCAGAAGTCATTATCAAGGATTTATTAAAGAGTGTGCTGAGATAAATTGTTTTAAATATCCAGTTTATTATTTCTTAAGATAGTCGAAGAAATATAGCTGTCACTTGTGCTCATGTTGGGCGATGGTGGTCGCTGAGGTGGTGGTGATAGTTGCTCTTGTGGTGGGGATGATGGTTGTTGGTGTGGTAGTGGGGATGATGGTTGTTGCTGTGGTGGTGAATTGGCAGTTGTATTTGTAATTGGGTATCCACGAAACAGGACCTTTGAGATTGCCTCCTAAATATTTGTGTACGATAACGAAGACTAAATTTTTGGAACGATTGGCCTGCTCACGTACCCTATGATCGAAATTGTTGAGCCTATTCTCAGCATCCTGGAATGGCTCAGATAACTTCCAAAACCCTCAGTGGCATAGCTTCAAACCTTCAAAAAAGGTACTAAAAATGGCTGATGCATCTTAGAGCTAGAATAGTACCTATTAAATTTGGGAATCTATTATAAGTGAAGAACGACTCATCTGCGTGTCTGGAACACACTTCTACTGCTACTGAACCCACCCTCTCAAGACACTTGTTCAAATCCATGTTACTAATCCTGTCTCCGCAGCATTTTTCAGTTAGGTCATAGTTTCCTAGACACAAAGCCTCACTGCTATTGGCTAACGTAAGTCCCAATTTGCCAGATTTATCGAATAAAATAACGATATTAATTTTTTATTAATTAACTAAAGAATACCTCTGACTGGCTTCAAAATATTATTGACGATAATTACCCATAAGTTAAGTCCATTTAGGTACAAATTTGAAATTTTTCCAAAATAAAATACGTGGAATCAGATCAGTTACTGGAGAATGCCTTTTCTGATCGCCGTCAAACTTTAAACATTGGTGGGCTTTATTAAGACACAGCTTGTCACTCACTGAGCTATGTCAATTTCAGTTTGCCAGTTTTATTAAGAAAATTGTTTCCCATGTAATAACTTCAGAATGCATCTTCTGATCAGCTTCAAACCTTAAATGCTGGTGAATCTAAGTATTTTTGTATTAATTTTGGGTTGTGGTGTTGGGTTGTTGTTGTGGTGGTCATTGTTGTGTTATGGCTGTTGCAGCTGTTGTTGTGGGGAGGAGGTGGTGGTTGTAGTTATGGTGGTTGTTGTAGTTATGGTGGTTGTGTTGTAGTTATGGCTGTTGTGGGGTGTACCTACCTGGAGGGCATTCCGAGGATCAATGCCCCTGCAGCCCGGTCCATGACCAGGCCTCCTGGTGGATCAGGGCCTGATAACGAGGCTGTTACTGCTGGCCGCAAGTAGTCCAACGTACGAACCACAGCCCGGTTGATCTGGAGGTGGTTGCTGCTGATGTTATTGCTGTTATCGTTGTTGCTATGGTGTAAGTGGTCGTTGTTGCTGCTGTTGTAATGGTTGTTGCTGTTGTGGTTGTTGTGGAGGTTGTTTTGGAGCAGGTGGTTCTGGAGTTGGTTGTTCATTGAAGAGGTTAAGACGAACGGGTTGCACAGCTTAGTGACGGAGGCTCCAGCTTCTCTCAGATTATCATCATCACTGGAAGGAGCGATGTAACTTTTGTTTACAGACTCTTGATGACATGGAGTGATGCTCGTGCAGAGTTTGTGGTAATGTAACTTGCAGCTCAGAAGTTAAACGACCCGCAACTCTCAAGAAGAAAGCAAGCCAACAATTTTAATTTGCATTCCGACATTTTGTTAATGAGTGGGACGAAACTACCAATTATCTCCGTGTCTTCTGTTGTATTAATTGCGTTCATAGCTACTTATGGTACGTTGAGAGAAAAGACCCTCGTAAAACTGTTCCCTGTTCAAGTTTCTTGGTATGTTCGTTAAGTTTAAAGAGTATCCACTACACAAGGGTCATTAAGGCTGCACATCGCTTGTACACCGCCATTAAAGATTAAAGTAAACTCTGTGTAGATGTACCTCTCAGCATGTATACACTGAAAACTTCTTAAACATCGTTCACTCTTGTTTCATGGAACTCCATTATGGGGATGGAAACTTTTGTGGGAGGAGGGAGGATGGTTTTTATGTACGAGGCAGTTATTGCCTTTGCAGATTAAGTTGATACTCCCACAAATTTCCTGTACGCGACATTTCTGGATAACACATGGAAGGAGGAGGAACACGCGATATGCAGTGTCCCTAACTGAGGTCATCCCAGGTGGTTAGCTCCTAGGAAGATTAAACTCAGTTAACCTTACTGAATTGTGAGCTCTCGTGCTGGTGATGGCTGGTTACCTGTAAATGAAGATCTGTAGCCTGAAGGCAAGGGTTTCAAACCCTGACCTTTGAAAATTGCTAAACCTTTTATATAGGACCGGTGATGGCTCACAACAAGTCAGTTTAACAAATTACAGTCGTATCTCACGATACAGATTCTAACGCTGTTTTGTTCGTTGGTCGAATAGTTCCCAGATTTGCCTGCACTGTTTGCGTAGTGGTTCCAGATAGTTATTTTGGTGGGTCACAATGTGGAATTCATAGGTGATGTCACTATTTTGAGTCAGATTTCAAGATGCTTCAGCCTGCATCCTCCTGGTTTTAATGCAACAATGGCCGCTGCCGTCTGCTTCCTCCCAGCTAGGCGACCAGCAGCTCAAAATATCTAATCTGTTATATCGCTCCCAGTAGCAGCGATCCGGTGCATTATTCTCCCATAATTCTGGTTCTTAAATTATGATATAATCCTTCTTGAATTGAAGCTAAAGCTCATATTCCTTGAGGTGTTATTGTTGATATTACAAGTTCAACTCCTGACCCCCCGAATCGAGTGCAGTGTTACATACAATGAATTATTAGTGTCTCGGTGGAAGGTTTGAGCTTTTGTGGCAATTTTTCCCACACTGGGGATGGGACACCGTGTTGGGGATGAGGCACCGTGCTGGATGGGACACTGTGCTGGGGATGGGACACCGTGTTGGGGATGAGGCACCGTGCTGGATGGGACACTGTGCTGGGGATGGGACATCATGCTTGGATATCAGGCTGGGGATGTCATGCTGGACCTCAAGGTCTGTTCCCTCATGACACATCATGAGGTGGTGGACCTTGAAGTTCAAGGACCCAGTTACTTAAGTCTCAGAGTTTTTATTTGAATGCCTCACGGAGGGAGTACAAGTTAGTTTGGTCTGTGAACGACTGCTCGACGCACCTTCTGAACTTCTAGTGACTCTTAGGCCCACTTTGAACTTCAAGTGGGTCTCAGACGCACTCTGAATATCTTGTCTCTCAAACGCACTCTGAACTTCATGTGTGTTTCAAACGCACTCTGAACCTCTAGTGGATTTAAGACATACTCTGAACTTCAAGTGGCTCATGAACGCACTCTAAATCACATGTGACACTTACATGCAATCTAAACTTACAGGACTTTCAAATGCACTCTACACTTCAGGCGAGTTTCAAACGCACTCTAGCTGGTAGTGATGAACATGAGACTTAAAGTTCAGCCTTCATGTATACACGACGGTCACATTATGATGAAACTTGTGAATATATGGAACTGGTCATCTTGAAACTATATCCCAAATTATGAAACCCCTTGAAGTCAAGTTATTTTTTTTGAAGACTAGTTGTAACTGACTGGGAACTAGATTATAACAAACGAGGTGTAGAACAAAAGTATTTATTATTATGATTAGGTAAATTTAGATATATCCGTAGTGTTCCGGTGCCCTTTTCCGTATAGCTGGGTTATGGGAACAATAGCTGGATTATGTTTTCCTGTCATATTCAATCAGTTTGATTTGCCGATTTAATTAAGGTAATGAAATTTGTCAGTCTTAGGTAGGTTGAGAATGTACGGTAACTTTAAATGGATTGGTTACAGCAGTGCTGAAGTTAGTGTTACTTGGTCATTACCAAGTGTGTGACTGGTTGGTGGTGGGTGTTGGTGTTACTTGGGCATCACCAAGTGAGACTGGTTGGTGGTGGGTGTTGGTGTTACTTGGGCATCACCAAGTGAGACTGGTTGGTGGTGGGTGTTGGTGTTACTTGGGCATCACCAGATGTGAGACTGGTTGGTGGTGATTGTTGGTGTTACTTGGGCATCACCAGGTGTGAGACTGGTTGGTGGTGATTGTTGGTGTTACTTGGGCATCACCAAGTGAGACTGGTTGGTGGTGGGTGTTGGTGTTACTTGGGCATCACCAGATGTGAGACTGGTTGGTGGTGATTGTTGGTGTTACTTGGGCATCACCAAGTGAGACTGGTTGGTGGTGGGTGTTGGTGTTACTTGGGCATCACCAAGTGAGACTGGTTGGTGGTGGGTGTTGGGTGTTACTTGGGCATCACCAAGTGAGACTGGTTGGTGGTGGGTGTTGGTGTTACTTGGGCATCACCAGATGTGAGACTGGTTTGGTGGTGATTGTTGGTGTTACTTGGGCATCACCAGGTGTGAGACTGGTTGTGGTGATTGTTGGTGTTACTTGGGCATCACCAAGCGTGAGACTGGTTGGTGGTGGGTGTAGCGTGAGTGGTAGATGTAGAGAGGCGAGGCCGAGGTTCACCTGCGTCTAGTCAGTTCATGTGTTGACGCCGAGGGGGATACATGTGTCGTCCACCGCTCTCCCGCCGCCTCGCGCCCACGCTCCAACCCTCGCTTCCTAACACACTGTGAACATAACATTTAATTACAATTATATGGGCATGTGTGACAGTAATCGTTTTATGTAATTAACGAGGGGAAAGACCTGACTAATAAGGGAAAAGTGAAGATCGACAGTTTGTGCTAGATGTGACCTGTTTTAAACTTAAGTTCAGGGCATCTTCAATGCTAAAAAAATTCACCTTGATGAAAAGGCGGAGCAGGATGCCAGGTTGAGTGTTAGTGTTGAACGAGGGTGTCGAGGAGTGTGGCCCCCGCGCGGAGAAACTGCCCCAGGTGGCAGACGAGGCTCGGGTATCCACCAGGTGTAGGCTCACGCCTGCCTGCTGATTCACTTCCCCGTCTTTGAATGCTAATGAAGTTTTTCTTTGCATCCTTCAGCGGCAAGGCAAATTACCGAGTATGTTGGCAGTGTGTGGGAGTGTGGACAGAACACAGGTGTGTGGTGCGCGCGACACCTGCGCGGCGGCTCACTCCCACGCCCACAGCATCTGACGGTGGGCGGCAGACGACCCTCAGTAGGACATTTAAAGTAGGCGTTGAGAGGTGACAAGAGCGTGGCGGAGATGATCTTCCCTGGACCGAAGTCGCTGCATTAAATTCAGCACCAAAATGCTGTGTTGTGCCCCACGGACGCGATTAGTGTTGAGCGCTGTGCTGCTGCTGCTGTGGGACCCTGCGCACGGGGACATAGGGAGCGGGGAGGTGGATGGGATTGTTTTGGATGGGGGTGTAGCCTTAGGGTTAGACTGGGAGGACGGGAACTGGGTGGTGGATAGGGACGAAAGAGGCGTGACGTACAGTAAGTGGCGCTACAAGATCACAGACGGGCAACGGGGGCGTCCCGAAGGACGGCCAGTGACGCAGCGCCCCTCCGTCACCGCCCCTGACGGCGTCGACGCCAATAGGGTAGGCAGGGTGGGACACAGTGGCTCTCGCTACCCCACCGTGCCACGGTCCTCAGGGGCGCCCATGGCAGGGCAGGGCAGTCCTCATCACGGACGGACCTCAGAGGGGGTTAGGAGAGGCCGGCCTTATCATGGACGGACCTCAGAGGGGGCTAGGAAAGGCCGACCTTATCACGGGCGGACCTCTGAAGGGGCAAGAAAAGGCCGTCCGTATCACGGGCAGACCTCTGAGGGCACGAGAGGTGGGAATCAGGGACCCACTTCAGGAGGGGTGGAAAAAGTGCGTCCATATCCAGAACAGACCTCTGAAGGGGTAAAGAAAGGACGCCCTTACCCCGGACGGACCTCAGAAGGGGTGAAGAAAGGACGCCCTTACCCCGGACGAATCTCTGAAGGGGTGAAGAAAGGACGCCCTTACCACGGACGGAGATCTGAGGGGGTGAGAAGGGGACGTCCTTACCACGGACAGACATCTGGAGGGGTGAGAGGGGGACGTCCTTATCACGGACGGACATCTGGAGAGGTGAGAGGGGGGCGTCCTTACCACGGACGGACCTCTGCAAACGGCACGGAATCCACCACACTGCGCATCGGTACCAAGTACACGTACACGGACGAATACAAGAAGTGGCATGGGTTGGTCTATGG